TTTAATGCACTCAACTTTCTATGTTCTGTTATTATCAACATTTAAATATACTTACAGTCTGGAGAAATGGCTCAGCAGTTTAAAGTGCTTACTGGACCAGAGTTCAGTTTCCAGTACCCATGTTGGGCAACTCAGAACCACTTCTAACTCATCCTCAGAGTGCATTACTCTTTTATGCCATCCACCAGCAACTGCATTCATTTACGTGCATGTTTGTGTACACACACACACAAATGAAAGCAAACCAAAAAAGACAAGAAGATAGCATCATGGGAAGAGTAACTAGGCCAGGATCTACATTTGTGGAAAGAGGCAAGTGGAAGCTCAGAAAAAGTCTTTAGGAAGGATGGCACTTGACCCAGGAAAGAGGAGCCATTGTTCACACACAGGAACCAGAGCTCTTCAGACAGGGGTGTTATAACTGGAAGGCTCAGAAGAGGAAGTGAACATGCTATGTTCAAGGAAGACTGGCTACAGTCCCGTTAAGATCAGAGCTGAGGCCAGTAGGGTGAACTGCAGGAGCCTCTACATCTGATGTCCCCGAGGCCATGAGGAGGAGCTGGCAATTCTCCACAGGCGATGGTAGCCTGTAAGGACCTCAGTGAAAAAGCTAAGAGTGCTCCTGTAAGCCAGCTCTGTATTTTATTTTTCTGTTGCTATGATATAGGCCGGCAAAAGCAATTTAAGGGAGAAAGGGCTTGCTTGCTTGCTTGCTTGCTTGCTTGCTTGCTTGCTTGCTTGCTTGCTTGGGTCAGCTGATCATGTTGCATCTACAGTCAGGGAGCAGACAGAGATAAACAAAGGCTTGCGCTCAGCTCACTTCCCATGTCTTATACAGTTTCTAACCCAGCCTAGGGAATGGTGCCACTCACAAAGGGCAAACAAGTCTTCCTACCTCAGTTACACAGTCAATGCAGTCCCCCACGGGCAACCCAGAGGCCTGTCTCCCAGGTGATTACAGATATCATTTCATTGACAATTGACACCAACCATCTCGTGAATGGGGAATAATTTTTGGGAAAGTATGTGAAATCTTAGCATTCTTGAGTCAAATTACTGATGTACTATTTCAAGAAATGTCAGGGTGGTTTATATTTTACCTTAAAGTAAATAAATTTTTAAGTAAATAATTCTTTAGCTTTCCCCAAACTACAAGTTTTCTATGGGTTATATGGAAATGTGTCTGTTTCTTTTGTGTGAAGCATCATACTTGAATGCAACATGACTTCAAGGAGTGTTTTCATTTTGTTCATCAAGTATAAATTCGTTTACACTTGGATGACAGTGATATGGGTGCTATTCCGAGGGAGTGGAGTCTGGATCACTAAAGAAATTTACAGGTCAAAAAGCATTTCCTAGTTAACAGAAAGGTCTATATTAGATTTAAAAACTCAATCACAGGATATAACAGAGAAATGGGATATTAACAGAGGCAACTGAAGCCTCCAGCCTTCCAGACATAAGTATGAGGTGTGATGACATTACTCCAGTGTTAAATGGAGTTTCAGCCACATGCCAGACACGCCATTCCCAAATAATGGGAGAGGTCGTGCACTCTATTTTGCCCAGACTCCATCTGGAGTGAGGACTAATTAGAGAGCCGATGTAATGGGAAGACTGGAAACCGTGCCTCTGGGGAAAGGTGAAGGAAATTGGCTCTGAATTGAACTCAGGAAGAGACAGCCAGAGGAAATTGGATTGTTGTCTTCAGATGTATCCAGGGAAGCCACACATGCTACCTCATTCGAATCTTCTCTAACTCCATCTTGGCACCCTTGACCCGCAGGCAGCAGGGAACCTTCATGATTCTCCTATAATCTCATTCCAGTGTAAAATCTGTTTCAGAGTACAACTTCTCAAAAACTCATTGCCAGTGATGGGACTTACTAGCAAGGAAAACTTGAGGGGCAAGAGCCAACGGCAGGCTTTCTTCTTCTAGTCTGGCAGTCACATCAGGACCAGCACAAAGCAATGCGTCTAGGTGCAGGAGACAGTGGTACAAAGACAGTCCTGTGAAAAGGTGCCTGCACTTGTGGCAGCCACCAGAAATCCCTGCTGTCCAAGAGAGGCTCTGAGTCACCCAGCTGTCAAAGGTTCCATGAATGAGGAAAGTTCTTGTCCAATGTAAAGATGATGAAATGAGGCAATGTTGACAGCCACAGCCAGATGTAAACAGCCTTTAATAGTACTGAACTCTAAATGTGCAGCTGGTGACCAACTAAAACTTCATGCCCTGATCCCCACATAATCCACACAGGGCTCCAAGGATTATGCCCTTTTGGACATGAGGAAAGCAGGGAGTGGAAGGTTTAGGGTGTGGCATGAATCTTAAAGGTACTTATTATTAAAATCAAACCTGAGGCCAGTTATTGCGTTGGATGCTGGAAGATCAGAGAAGCAGAACAAGCCACAGCTACCTCACCTCACCAGTTCCTCAGCTGGTCCTGTTTCCTCGGACTGGAAGCCTCTGAGTCCTCATCCAGAATGAATCTCAGCTGAACTGTGCTGTTCAAAGCCTAAAAGCTTAACCAGGCCAAATGCTTCTAGTTTCTGTTCCTCACGCCTTATAGACCTTTCTGCTTTCTGCCATCACTCCCTGGGATTAAAGGCTCACTTTCTGGGATTAAAGGTGTGTGCCACATGCCTGGATGGTTCCAATATGGCCTTGAACTCACAGAGATCCAGAGGAATTTCTGCCTCTGGAATGCAAGGATTAAAGGCGTGAGTGCCACCATTTTCTAGCCTTTGTATCTAGTGGCTGTTCTGTCTCTGACCCCAGATAAGTTTATTAGGGTACACAATATTTTGGGGAACACAATACCACCACATGTGTACCACCTGGTACACATGGGAACAAACACCAGACTCTGGATTGGGCTGTTCACCACTGCAATTGGAGACCCAGATGAGACCCATGAGGAATGGATGAAGACAGGATCTATATGATGTAGAGCAGATAAGAGCCCCACTCACTCCACAGTGAGGATGCCAGTGAATCCCATTGCAGTAGATCTCTAAAGCCAGGGGGATTTAAAATATATTCCTCACTAAAGAGGCAAATACAATACTCCACTCCCCCAGGGAAAACACCATAGACTTGAGTCCTTAACCACCAATTAGGGCTTGAGCCAATATCAAAATCATTAGAGAATGTAGCCCTTAGACAGTGTCCCCAATATCCACAGTTGGTAAGTTTCCAGAGCCCAGTGAATGCCTAAAGCCATGGATGGCCAAAACATGGGTCTCAGCACCTCCGCATATCCTCACTTCCATTTTTAAATTAGCACTGGCTACTTTGGTTTAAAGGGAGCATGTGACAGCTACTCTCTGGCATACCTGAATCTCCACCATCAATACTCTGAAGCTTGGGGCCATTATTAAATAATAATCACTTGGCATATTGCTCAGGCTTTTCTTCTCTGTGACAAGCACCTAAACAGCTTAAAAGGAAGAAAGACTCAGTCTGGTTTATGGTTTCAGAGCCTTTGGTTCACACTTGGCTGGCTCTATCATTTGGGACCTGAGGAGAGGCTGTATGTTTACCATGAAGCTTTGCACCTTATGCTGGACAGGAAGTAAACAGAGCCAGGACAAGGTAGGAAGCAAGATGCATTCTTCAAAGGTCTGTTACCAGTGACTTGTGCCCTCCAGTTAAGCCATATCCCTGTAAGCTTCAGTACATAAAAGCTATGTCCTTAAGAGTGTGTCCTCGGCAATATTTGAAGTAGCCATGAAAAACACAAAAGTAACCCCACAAAAAGTTAAAACCACAAATGCTTTTAAATTAGTAATAGTTAACTTGGAAAATGCATGAACAGTGAATGAGAAGCCTGTCTTCTAAGACAATGGCTGATGATGTAGCAGAGGTGGAAAGACTGAGTTCTCTCAAGTTGCCCGGGAGTATTTCCCATTCTCAACTTCCTATAGTACATTGGCACTCCACGTGGGGATATCCCATCCATGTCCCCTGTCCTGGAATCTGGAGGGCTTAGGACTCATTTGGAACGAGTCACCTCAGTTGTGACCAAAGGATGTCAGGAAAGCCAGGGAAGGAGAGCTTCGCTATGGAAGACTGAAAGTATAGATGCTGTCTACCCCAATTCAGAGAAGAGACATGCAGGGTCATCGGGTGCCCAAACAGATGTCACAGCTCCAGGTGTGTGACCAGTATTATTTTCGCAGCCCCCTGTGCTCACTGCTGATTTAGCCAAAGTTTACCAGCAAATTGGCCACATTTTAAACAAAGCCACCTGGCTGCTTTGGCAATATGTACTTTTGTGGCCATAACATTTCAGCTTATTCTTTATCATTAATTTTTTAAGTTAACATAAAATGTAATGTGTCTCTATTCTCAGAAGAAATGTTTCATGTTCTACCTCATCTGCAGATCGTATCCTATAGTACATACATGTATATATTTAGACAAAGGTATGTGTGAGTGCAGTATGACATTAGAAAGGAGACTTCCCCCCAGGATGTCAGAGATGCCAGAGTTGTGGGATACTTGCCAAGGAGAGCTGCTAACGGAGAGTGGAACCAGCCCAAGAGAGAGAAGTGTGCTAGAGTCAACAAGGCGGGAAGGAATTGGAGGTCTGAGGAGTGCTTTGACATCAGACATGGAGATGCAGAGTTTGGAGTTTGCCCAGCTTGTTTTTGGTCTTGCTTTGGTCCAATATTTCCTCACGATCCTCCCTTTCCTCTATTTTAAAACAGCAACATTGCTCTATCCTGTGCCATTATATGTTGGAAGTATGTAATCTGTTTTTGATTTTGCTTTTATAGGGGACTACAGTTAAGAGATTGCATGAATCTCAGGAAAGACTTTTTGAAATTTGGACTTCTAAACACATTTGAGACTATCATCAACTATGGGGACTTTTAAAATTGGACTGAATGCATTTCTGCATTATGGTATGGCTACAAGCCAATGGGGGTCAGGAACTGAAATGTGATGGCTTGAATAGGTATGGCCCCAATAGACTCGTGTGTTTGAATACTTGGCCCATAGGGAGTGAGACTATTAGGAGGTGTGGCCTTGTTGGAGGAAGTGTGTCATTGTGGGGGAGGGCTTTGAGGTCTTAGATGCTCAAGCTACATCCAGT